CTTCCCAATAATAAAAAAAATCTACAGTTTATGATCTGGGTATAACTTTAAGTGATTCTCCAAACCTTTAGAGACTGAAAATATCGCCTGACATGCACCGCATGTAACCGGTTCGGTAACAGTTTCATCGTTGTAAACACAGTAATGTTTTGAGTCCACTTGCGTTGATTCTTCATACGGGTTAGTTGTTTCCTTTTCACTCTGTTCATCATTGCATTTATTGTGATCTTGATCTTCACTGACAGAGTTATTGATTATTTCATGCGTGTTACATTCGTGATTATGAAGTTCGTTTTCCGTGTGGAAACCATGGTTACATTCTATGCACAAATAGTCACTACATCCGTTGCTTGCCTTCTTATCAATCAAATTAACTTCGTTGTCCGAAAGGTGATCTACAGCGTCTGTATTGATTTGGTTTTCGTTTATTTCCTCCGTTTCCATCTGAAGTAAGTCATTGCTTAAGTTTTCATCTTTTGCCTTAGCTGTGAATGGTACTTCACTACCTTGTAGAAAATACTTGTCTACCCTTCTGGCAATTTTGTTCGGTGACTTTGGCCGATGAGACAACATATGTTCTCGCAACTTATAAGGGGATTTTAATACTTTATGACATTTTTCACAAACGTGTTGTTTTGAACGTTCTTGCTCTTGGTGTGATTTCATATGTTGTTGGAACTTAATCATATCAGTGTAACTTTCGCCGCACTTTGGACATATATGACACATTTTAGAGTAATGTTCTTTCTTCATGTGATTCTTCATGCATGTTCTGTTCGGGTATCCGGTTTTACATTGAGCACATCGTAATTTGAATGTGTGTGCCCGTAAATGTTTTTTTAAACCATCGGTATGAGAAAACCTTTTCGGGCATTTTTTGCAAGCGTATGGTTTAATACACGTGTTTAAGAGCATATGTCTCTTCATATTACTTAGCGACGTAAACGTAGCTAGGCAAAGAATGCACGTAGAATGATTATGTGCTGCCAGATTATGAGCTTCGAATATTTCAACATTCTCAAAAATATTTTGACATATCTTACATAGAATATTCGTTGCAGACGACATGTTTTTCTTCTTATCATCTAAGCCTGAGTGACCAGCCAATGTTCGAGTTTCTGAAGAAATCTGTGTAGTACACTTTGGATCTTGCAGAGAAGTAACTTCCATGTTGCCATCTTCTTCATGCATTTTGGAGTTCGTGTCGCCATCAGTGCATGGTTTGGGTTTAATCAAAATGTTATCAGTTTCAATAATAATCTGATCCGAAATATTCATGTTGGCGTGTTGTTTGTCTTGTGTTGTGTTGGACGTTTTACATCTATCTCCTAAGCCTGAATGACAAGAAAATGTACGAATATCTGAAGACATATGTGAAGTAGTCTTCGATACTTTCATAGAGGTCCTTTTTATTTTGACATCTTTCTGTTGTATTTTGGAAGAACTCTTTCCATCATTGTCTGGGTTGGGCTTGATAAAATTTGTGTCAGCTTCAATCATTATCTGATCCGAAATATTCATTTCGACGTTGTCTTGTGTTATGCCGGACGTTTTACATCTCTTCTCTACGTATGAATGACCAGTCACTGTACGAGTATCTGAAGAAATCTGTGTAGTAAATTTCGATTCTTCCAGAGAAGTACCTTTCGTGCTGCAATCTTCCTGTTGTATTCCGTTATTCGTGTTTTCATTAGCTTTTGGTTCGGGATTCGTGCTTCCCTGAGTGTCTGGTTTAGGTTGAATCAAAACATCACCTTCAATCCGATCCGAATTTTTCTTATTGGCGTTATCGTATGTTGTAATGGGCGTTTTTCGTCTTTGGTGTACATTTTCACGTGCAACAGATTTAGCTGTACCGAAAGTTTCTTTGGGTTGATTTTCGGGATAATTTGGTTTATCAAAGAATTCATGTATTTTTACGACGTGATCCTGGCCGTTGAAAGTCAAACATATTATTCCGTCAACTTCAAGACGTCTTGTGTTGGCAACCGCCTCACGGCATAATCCCAGGATTGACTTTTCAAGTAAGTGAGTGTCATTTAGCACCATCTTTGTTTTGACAGGCAGTTCCTGAAAAGAAAAGAAATAAAAAAGGTAACACAATACTTTTTTGCCGTAATAAAAATTGTTTCATGCATATCTAAGGGCTTTTTTTTAACTTTCTTAGGAAATAAAGAAGTTAATAAGGTTACTCTACCTGATGTTGTGGGCTCGAGCTATGATATAACCTTGTTATAGTTGTCATACAAGTGAACATTGAGAATATTCAAATAAAATCGTACAAAGATTAGTATGTTATATTGTGTGCACGCAAAAAAAAATCTGCCTGATTTTTAATGATTTTATGGTATTGTATTTATTCAACAGTTCGGTAATAATTTCTTAATTATTTTCATTTTAACTTCCATGAAAGTGTTGCATTGAGGATTCCATAATAACTATCGTATACACACATCTACGGATGTTCTTTTATGTCTTATTTAATGTGTAGATCTGAATGCTGATTAGGCTGGTACTATTGGTGAATCTGTTAAACACATACATTAATTGAACTGACATCCCTAGTAAAATGATACAAACCACTTGACTGAAACTTTCAAGTGATTGAAGTTTGAAAATTGAGAAGTTGAGAAGTTAAGAAATTGAGAAGTATAATGTGATGAAAACCAAAAATTAAAAATAGCTGGTATAACAATAAATATGCTAAGGAATAAACTGTGATAATTAACATAATTCGGTTGTAAATCATAAAAATTCAGTTATAGGTGACAATAAATTCAATATAGTTATAAACTTTTTTAAAGGCCTATAAAGTTGCCATTTTATTAATTTATTCAGTTTATATATCTTCATAATTATCACCATGCCTTGCTTACAATTAATGGTAATTTGTTTCTACTTGTTCAAATAATTTCAAACTTCTGAATTCCGGAACTTCCAAAGTCCGAACTTTTTGGCTAGTCCCACAGGTGTTCGGTTTTCAGAAGTTACACTGTATTGTGTACTCTAAAGCATTTCTATTATAAAAAAAACTCTCACAAATGAGCAACGTCAAACAAAATGACATCTTTTTAAATATAATGACATTTAAAAAAATGACATTATTTTATGTAATTTGGTCATTCATTTAAATTATGCTAGTTGATATAAGAGTTACCGTCTCAGGATTTAAGTGTAATGAAAGCATGATTATATGCTGAAGTGATCAATGAGTCCATGCCTTCTGTTCTCATCTTTTTCTTTGAATAATAATTTTATTATACATTTTTTTTACAATTGAATATTGTTTATAAGTATCCTGGAAATTCATTTGTTTAAACTATTGAATCAAATTACACCAAGAATAAATACAATTCAAATATTAATTCTGATTTAGGAGGTAAGACTGATCGTGAGATATTCACAGAGACATCACCAATTATCAAATAAATAAAGATTTTACAAAAACTTTACTTGGTTCACTATTAATTGCAGAACCTTAGGGCAAGAGTAAGACAGTCAAAAATGTTCAAATAAACGCCTTTCAATGCTCATAAAAAAGACTAAGATAGTCAAAGAATTGTAAAAAAAAACAACATAGAGTACAAAAATCGGATAAAATAATGCACACATAACAGATGTGCAGGGATCAAATAATCTAAACAGACCATCTTCTTGAAAACGTGTCAAGAATTGTTTTACGACCAAATTTCACCTTTGTTAAAATATCTACATTTTCTGACCAACAAAGAAATTAAGTAATAAGTATCTTTTTTCAAAAGAAAGCCCGAAATTGTTTTACTCTATCGCGGATGTCAGTAGTGTTTCAGTCATACATCAACTAATGTCTCATCATTCATTACCTACGGTGGCACAGAGATGACATACATGTATGTGCTTTTTTATTTATCTCGTGCGCACGACATACTATGTCGTGGCCACGAGTTACTAAGTCGTGGGAACGAGATAATTAAGTGGTGCGCACGAGATACTATGTCGTGGCTACGAGTTACAATGTCGTGCGCACGAGATACTATGTCGTTGTCACGCGTTACTAAGTCGTGGGAACGATTTAATTAAGTGGAGCGCACGAGATACTATGGCGTGGCCGCGAGTTACTAAGTCTTGCGTACAAGATAATTAACTAGTTGACACGTGTTACTTTGTGATGCGTGTTACTTTGTGATGCGTACGAGATAATTAAGTCGTGCGCACGAGATAATTAACCAATCAGATGATACTATATATATGAATTTTTTCAACTTAAAAAATACCAAGTTAAAGTTTTACATGCAACATCAATCTTTGAATCTACTGAAGGCATTCACTTTAAACTTGATAAATGTCTATAGGATCATATAAGAAGATTACTATCCAATGCCCATAGATGAAACTTTCATTTTGACTTAGTTATGGCCCTTTGTGATGACCATCCTCTGATAAGGTTGATGAGTATGTACGTAATAACAACCTGTAAACCTTGTTCATACGATAACTTGGGAAGGAATAAGCACTGCTTTATTCTATTTGGTAGGGACAATGCCCATGGAACAGTAGATGACCTACATTGATGATTTAGGTCATAGGTCAAGGTAACCATGACACTTCATGTAAAATCCTGGTCGATGAATTACTAAGAGAAGAAATAAGCCATTGTTTATATAACCTAGTATGTATACGGCATCTGATCAGACACATAATAATTTTGAGGATATTGGGTCAAAACTCAGTGTCACAATGACGCTTAATGTAAAATCATTGTCCAATCAATAACTATTATATATGGCACTATGACAGGCAGGTGAAGTAGGGTTCTTTCTTTAATACATTTTCTATCGTTTTGCTTATCATTTTAAAATACCATAATGATAAAAATAACACCAATAATAATAATTCACCATTAACGCTGTATACAAAACATTACTATCAAATCGGCCATCGCAATTATTTATTATTCGCCGTTTAGCCAAATATATGATAGATTTTATTTTGAAGGTAATGTAAAAAAGAACTTTAAACATGAAATATGCTAAAATGGTGTTAAACAATCATGTCTGCGTATGTTTAGCAGAACGTATATAGCGAACCAAGCGGGCTTGATCTAACATACTACACAAAGGAGTGTTGCGTTGTAAATTTTAATACAAATAACGCGTTTTCAATATATAGTGAACATGTGTATTTGAGTTTATTTATAATCGCCACCGGTTTCCCATATGAGCGAGTCCTCGGGAAGAGTATTAGACATTTTATATTTTGGAGGATAGTGCAAGATACAGTTACAGAAATATTCCCCAATTCAGAAGCTTCCCCAGGTTCTTTAACGTGCCAAGTGTTTTAGCACTCATACACGTGACCTCGGTTTAAAGTCTCATCCGATAGACTGATTAGTAATTTTAGTTGGCCATCCCGGGAATCGAACCAATAATGTCGGGATTACAAGTCTCGCGCTCTAACCAATTGAGCTATGCGGGCTGGTAGGCTGTACATGCAATGGACACTGGTTTTATATGTCCTGTTCACTAACCATATACTAGTAATCGGTATGCAATTAACATGTTAATAAAACCGGGAAATACATTTTGTATTACATTTACTATTTTATGTTATTCTGACAAATGTCAGATCAGACTATTTCTTTCCTCTTATAGAAAGTGGGTAATTCTTAAGTGCATTTTGATACAGAATCCGTATTTGCAAGAATACAAAATTTTATATTTAAGTAATTTACGGACTTATAATAAAAAAATCCTTATGTTAGTAAATACAGCAAACTTCCCGTATATTTCAAGTGTATGGATCACGGTATATAAGTCATATAAGTATTGCATGATATACAGTCCCATACTTCTACGTATTTTAAATTTCACGTATTTTTACCCGTCTATTTATAATATACGGAATTCCGTACACTTGAATGCATCCATATTTTTCCGCAGTGGTCAAAATGGCATTAGACGCAGTGTATAGCAAGATATTTGACTCAGGGAGATCTTTTTCCTAACACACAAAATAACAAACACCCTGAGAAAGCGTGACTTTTATCCAAAGGGGTGGGGGAATAAAATCAGGTGTGTCGGTGACCCTCTAATTTTTTTTTCAGTTATTTAGACTTAATAAACATTTAAAATGACGTATAGGGAAAAAATCAAACATTTATTTCAGGAACTGTTTTATAAGCGGTTTAAAAGCCGAAAATTGTAGCTGAACTGAACATCAAATTTTACACAATTTAAACTTTGAACTACATGTGTACAAAAAAATGGCTAAAACTATTGAAATAAAATCAATGGAATCGAATGTGAAACTAGAATTTAATGTCAACTATTTACATGCCAATTTTCAAGACGCTACTCGGAAGTTGCAAAGTGTTGCGATATATATTATTTCTTAAATAACACACACTTTCGGTCCTTCTATATATTCAATATTCGTGTTAGCATTATAAATATAATACACTTATCAGTAATAAGCTACACATAATAAGTAATAAATAAAAGAAAATCAAATGTCCCCCAAGGCTTTATACGCACTTCTCTGGACAGTATTTTGTGTGACTAAGGTACATGTAGTGCACTGTACATGTCTATACATGTACAATGAATGATAAAAAGGGTACGTACGCTTTGTTAAAAGGAAATTGTGTATTAAAAGGAAATTGTGTATACGAGTATTTTCAGCACAATATTTGCACATTTGGAACCGCACGATGGTTTACTTTTGATTAAATCTTTGGTACCGCACGATGGTTTACTTTTGATTAAATCTTTGGTACCGCATGATGGTTTACTTTTGATTAAATCTTGGGTACCGCATGATGGTTTACTTTTGATTAAATCTTGGGTATCATGTGAGACTTGTTTTACATGTAAATAGCGGAGAGATGAAATCTTGTGTAAGGTACAGGAATGGAACGCAATCAAAGCGGTCAAGAGCGAGGTGGGCATAATAGAAACATTAAAATTCTTCATACTAATCAGTATATATAGAACTAAAAATTACAGTTCGTATTTTTATCCCGACGTTTTTCTTTGAGTTTTTAAAAATAAAAATAACTTAGCAAAACGACGGGAACGACACGTTAACAATCGTTATATTCAGTTACATTTTTGAGTTAAAAGGGCCTTCGATTAGCTGTTACGTATAAGTTATTCAAAGTTATTCAAATTTTACTTTTTCGTTTGCCAATCAGTATAAAATAAAAACCTAACATATGATAGATGAAACAGATTTTTACCTTGAATAATTAATCCAAAAGTACTCTTGTGAATATGAACAGTGATGAATCGAATAAAACTTCGGCGTTTGTAACTTCTCAAGTCAATTTAAGTGGTAAATTCAATCGTAAATGAAAACGAAAGTGGATTTTAGCATGACTCAAGATAAACTTGTTATATCGTATTTGCTGGTAGCCATAATAAATCAAACAAGTATGGGATTAGTATGTGCCATCTAATCCTGTAAGGGGAGATCACTGCGTAGCCACGCCCATCGGTTTTTAAGGGAAGTAACTCACGAAGCCGACACATTCGGAGTCCCTCACCGATTATTCAAACAAAATTCAACTGATTTCAATCTTATTTCATTTCTACTTGAAACGTATTTGTTTTTAATCTGAATCGCTGTTTACATGAAAATTGGAGGACAATTATTCTGTTTCATGATGAAACGGTCCATTTCAACGCTGAATTCGCTAACAACAACTACATTTCAAAACAGTTATAACAACTTTACGTTTTCTGGAAACTTTAATCAACTCTGCATGGCACAGCACTCTCCGAATTTCGATGTTTGGTGTAGAGTTTACAAAATATATTAAATATGAAAACACATGACACTTTATTTCTGAGACATGCACTAGCCACAGGTGGCAGTATCAGTGTTTGGACACCCCAAGCCTATCTGCCCCTGAACCCTGAAAATTATTTTTAAAAAATGATTGTTGAAATTTTTTTTATATAATTTTATCGGTGGTTTTGTATTTGGTATCTTATAGTAAGCCGTAGAGTGTTGAATTATTTTTTTCAGGGTTGTAGTAGGGGTCCAGGGGCAGATAGGGGTGGGGTGTCCAAACACTGATACTGCCACCTCTGGCACTAGCTCGGAAGTAGCGATAGAGCGATTTACTGTATACCTCCGAAAGAGTACAAGCTTGTGATATACAACTTTTCTCTGAATCTCCGCTTTAACTAGTAAAACATTTTTCTGTTGTGTTTCTTCTTGAATTGCGAGTAGAATTTAAGGCTAATACTGTAAAACGACGTTTAACAACAACAACAACAACACGTACAGTTTACTTGTAAGGATTACGAGTGTTGTCTTTTTTTTTTTATTAACTTCTCATTTTATTTTTTCTTTTGATTTCAATGTGGGCCTATCTAGCAAGTTAGTGAAACCTTATACTGCATACAAGTACACAAATTGTTTCAACTGTAGTTCAGTTGGCAGTACTGCACAAGTACTAAGATTATTACATACTGCACAAAATACAGGATAAAAATATTATTCCCGGTATATTAAAATTATTAAATATTATAACAAAACTACCTTGATATTCCAAATCATGTACATCTATCATAAAATTGAAAACAAATAAGGAAAGAAAAAAAGGAAAAATGTTAGACAACTTCGTTGTGAAGCTCGAACTCGTGATTAAGTTTTAATCGTATCGCAATGCAACGACTGTACCAACTTCTGAATACAATACCACAAAAAAGGTTGTACATTTTGTAATATCTAAATTTCATAAATAATAAAATACAGTATAAGCAAAGACAATTTACAAAACTGCTTTTATTCCTGTTCTAAAATATATCTTTATACAAATATCAAGTAAAATTCTGTAAAACCTTTAAAATATAACAATTCCAACACAGTGCATTTATACGAATGTCTTTCTACATGGAAGACTGATGAAAGTTAAGTTATACAGTGTAATACATGTTAAAAGTTATATAAAAATGATTTTGAAAATTAAAGGCATCATGGACCTAGAACTGATCGAGGCAATTTAGCAAACTTGATTTTAAACAAATTACATCCTCGCAATCACTGACATTTTTGTTTATCCATGTTCCTTCAATACTCACTTTTCTGTTGTTTCCTTTCATACCATTTCTAGAGCTATGAGCAAAAAAGGAATATTTATACATAATCTGGACTATTTGAAGTGCCAGACAAAATCGGTCAAAATTATTTGTTTGAAAAGATGTTGGGCTAGAAGAGAAAACTGATGAATGGGTGGGGATCCACAGGCAATTTGTTTACATAATGACGTAACATGTATCGTTTTTGGCCCTAAAACATGACATGTCATTATTTACATAATGACGTAACATGTAACGTTTATGGCTAGAAAACATGACATGTCCCATTTATGAATAGATAACAGGACATGTCACCTTTAAGACTATAAAATCCCAAATATTTTTGATGTTCAATTTTTTCAATGGAAACTAATACATCTTCAAACATGTCTAGCCACTAGAAAACTCTACATGTTACATCTATAATTAGATAACAGTACAAGTAATAGAAAGAGCACCGAAACACGAGGTTATCTGATTTGTACGAGGGGGCGTAGCCCCCCGAGTATTAATCAGATTACCGAGTGTTTTGGTGTTCTTTCTCTTTTGTATCATAGTCAAACATAAAAACACGTTCCCTGTTGTTACAATATGAAACCCCGGCAAAAATGAACCAATGAACGAGCATCTAAATATGACATTTCTGTCGATTTCACTTTCACTGCCGTCACAATATGTAAACCCCAGCAAAAATGAGCCAATCAATGGGCATGCTCTGGAGTGCGGGTAACTAATACCCTCACTCCAGTTAACGCACTGTGCATGTATATGTATACGATTTAACCCTGACACATTTTCAACAGAAAGGTCTCCAAACTATGATACAACAAGTTGATACAGGTTGCCCTTAACAGCTATTAATCAGGTGAATTTAGTACACTCAGCATTAGAAATGTTGACTGTTCAGTGATAACACAATCCAATTATCTACAACTTTGTTTACAGAAAAGATTTACAACAAATCATTAGGCAATTTGTTGACATAATGACGTAATCGATGTCAATTTTATGAATAGAAAACCCGACATATTTTTTATGTCAATTTTATGTATAGCAAACCCGACTTTTTTTTATGTCAATTTTATCGTATCGATTTATTCAGGGAATAGACATATACACACATATATCAATTTGCATACCAATGTATATATAAAAACACACACATAAATGCAACAAATATAATTATAAGATTAATTAATGAGTATGTTCCCTAGGATTGCCCATTAAGCTAAAAGCTTATTTCCAATGGGGTCCATTTACTGTAAAATTGTTACACTAACTTACATAATAATAAATGAATTATAAAGAAGTTAAAATAATGAAAATTTTCAACAATCAAGACACATTTTTGTATATATAATACGACAAGTACATTGTACACAAACAAAATGAAATAAATTTCGTTTAAACTAAAACATATCAAGTACAACATAAACAAGTTACAAAAGCTTATCATAAGTTATACATCAATTTAATAATAAATAAACATATTATTCGCTTGTTTATCATTTATATTGTTTATCATAATAGAAAAACCCGACATATTTTTTTACGTCAATTTTATGAATAGAAAACCCGACACATAATTTTTATGTCCATTTTTTCAATAGAAAATGATACATTTTAATTTGTTTACATAAGTGACGTTATAATGGTCAAAGTTATGAATAGAAAATTGCTACCATAAAGGATTAGGTTAACATAATAATGGTCAAAAGAGACAATAGACAAGTACGACCATAAAGGATTAGAGGTCACATAAATATGGTCTAAAGTATACAAAAGAAAAATGATACCATAAAGGATTACTAGTCAAAATATACAAAAGGAAAACTATAATCAAATTATTATTAACAAGTCTAGACCAGCTGTGGCGGATACATGAGATAGCTTATGTAACGCTAACTTATAGCGCGTCTTATCGCTATGTTTAAATAACGCAAATGACGTCACGTCAAAATATATGCACGGCCGTGCAATACTATTTTTACACAGTCGCAGAAGCGGCCCGGATATGTGATAAAACGTGTTATCAAATTTCTAGAATGTTATGAAATTGCGCTATCAACAAAGATCCGTATAAGCATAACTTATAGCATATTATACATGTATTTAAAACTTGTCTTTTCTTTTCATTTGTTTTACTAACAGTTATGAAATATTATATCGGATAATTATATATATTAAGTACTATGTTCCATAGTTTCATCGAGAAAAAACGTGTGAATTATGCATATATAACAAACTTATATGTTATATGTAGTTACAATAACTTACATTTGGTTCCCCAGTAACCTTCACCGCTATAACCGTACTGATCACAGACCCTATGGTTCCTAGCCTTGCAATGCCTGTCAACACACTTACATACCTGGGAGCCAGATCTAATGGATTTACCTGATAACCTAATACAATCACAAAACATTAACTAATTATGACTAATAATTGACAAAAAAAAATGACAAAAAATATAAAATTCATTTCAATTTCAATTTTTTTAAAGAGCAGTTCTATAAAATAATAAAATTTCATTTCATTTATTAAGTAATAACTATTTTCAAAAAAAAGAAGACAAACATTTTAATTAAATTAACTAGATACACAAACTTATAACCCTACGGGTCTTTCCGTCTGACAAAATTAAAGAGATTGATAATACTTCACTACTACTTGTTCGAGTATTTTAGTTTGTCTTTTATTGACAATATTACCAGTGAGCATTATTTTGATTAGTTAAAACTAGATCTGCCACTGTCATGGCGTGAATACCCCCGCATACCACTTTTTCAGAATCAAGGGTGGTCATTGAGAGCTCAAGGAAAACCTCCAAACCAAATTTTAGGGTAGTAAGCCAGTGCATTGCTAAGTCATGTATTCTATATGTTTTTAGTGGCAAAGATCAAAGTGACCTTTACCTTTGACGTACTGACCTCAAAACCTCAAAACTTAAACTGCCACTGCATGACTTGACCCCCCCCCCCGCCCCGGTTTATACAGCTTTGCCTGGGGTGTTTTATGATGAATATCTACGAGAACATAATTATATGCTTCAAATGTGAGCGGACAAGCTTTTCAACTTAAGGCCCTTGTGACCTTGACCTTGTACCCAGTGACCTCAAAATCAGCATGGGTCACCAAATGAACATGGTCAACCTCGATGACGTAAACCCAACCAAAAATACAATGCGGATCACTGCCATATTACATGAACATGCTTTTTTGTCATGCTAGTCCCACCTGATATTGCGATACCGCTGACAACAACTCCGACACACAAGATTGCAATTGCCGACCTATCTGTAAGATTAGTTATTAAGAGGCATCCAGACTCAACTCCGAAACCTGTACGTGATCATATGGAAAA